AGAATAGCCAACATCAACTTCAGCAGAGTTATTAGCAATATAGATAGCAATTTTGACAATACCAAAAGAAAAAAGACTAAAAATATTTACAGATAGTAATATTGCAATTAAAAACATTAGTAAAGAGTTAGAATGTACAGATAGAAATAAAATTCTTAAGAAGAAAAATGCAGTTTAAATAATGAAGATAATTGACCTAGTTAGAACAAAAAACATACAAATAGAGTAGTTTAAGATGAAGAGTCATAGCAAAGACAAATAGAATAATAAAGCTAACAGCCTTATGAAAAAATGAACAATAAGCAAAAAGATAATATATATAAAAAAAGTCAGTTGCAAAGAAATAGAATACTACTTAAAGTGAGAAAACAAATGAATAGATATATTAACAAGACTTTTATATAAGCTAGTAACAAATGCAAACTAAATGCAAAGTAAAGTGAAACAACAGCAATTAAGAGCCTAGAACTGGTAACAGAAATAATGATATATAATTGAATATATTTTTGAAAAAGGCTAAAATCAACCAAAGTAATATACTGTATAACAAAAAGAAGCAGCATAAGAAGAAACACTTTTATAAAGTATGTATTGAACAAACTCTTAACATTAAAGAAACTCAACAAAAGAAGGCCAGACTTATATATAAATGCAAAATGCCAAGTTTATTAAGACAAAGTTAAAGAAACACAAAGGCATCTGGCAGCATGCAAGAAACAAACAAGCTTTTGAAAGAGAATACAGAAAGTATCTATTGCAATAGCATAAAAAAGATTAAAAGAAGAAGAAAAAATCAGAGTTCCACTTTATATATTGTATATAGTATTATTCGGAAAAACAGAAATAAAAGAAACAGAAATGAGAGAAGCACTAATCAAGAGCCTAATTCCAAAAATAGCTCAAAACAGGTTAGCATAGCTTCTAAATATACAAACATAACAAAGATTTGTAAATATATTAGCAGAAACAGCCTGAAACATCTTTTATAAGTAAGTTTAAAAAATATAATATGAAAAAAGTAATAAATAGGAAAAAAAGACAGGAATAACTAGCAAAATAAATAAAAAAATATAAAAAAAGAAAAACAATTTAAGCAAGAAGAAAAAGGCTAGTTAGCAAAAAATAGAGAAAAAGAAGAAAAAAACAAAAAAGAAGAAAAAGCAAATTGAAGATAAAGTTAGAAAAACAATTTTAGAGCTTGTTATGAAAAGAGAAAAACTCTTTTATTATGGACTTTAAGTAGTTAGACAAGCAACTTACTTCTGTTTGAAGTAATATAACAAATTGCACTTAGATGCTATTAGAGTGATTAGGTAATGCTAGACTTAGTTGTTAGATATATTTATATAATTACAATAATAATATCAAAAATCTTAATAATATACTAGTATAACTGCTTAAGAGAAAATATATAATCAATTATTATAAAATACATTTATAGTAAGAGGTATGGTAACCTAGTAAAGTGGATAAGTTATCAACTTCCAAGTGGCAGGTCTAGAGTTCAAATTCCAGTGATAGTGAAAAATTTGTAATTCTTTCTGTATTATAGCTAACTGTCTTCTGTGATTAGTTGGAATAAGATACCTATAACCTGTATCATATTAGTATGACTGAAAGATCTAGGCACTCATACAATGTTATATGAGAGAACACAAACTGGTACTGGGTGATGTGAACTCAAAATAAGTTCTTAGGCCATGTAAATTACAGAAATCAGATAGAAAGACAAAAGCCCACTTGGAAGATCCAAGTAGAGAGATAATCTAAACCTTTGATAGTACTATTATAAAGACTAAACTTATGAAATAAAGCTAAAACTTGTAAAACCAGGCAAATGTGCCAGTCTTTAAGGAGGAACCAGATGAACCAACCAGGCTATTGAAATTTCCAGGTTCTAGAGAAAAAGAGTACATGCTAGCAAACATGTAAACCAAAGGTACAGTTTTGTTTTACCTTTCTGAGCTATCTGAAATAGCAGCTTGATGGAACTTGAATTGAATACCAAAGTAGTAAGGATATGTTGTAAAATCAGTACCAGGATTGGAATAAACTCTACAAGGGCATAGCAGTTTAATGATATGCCTTGACTGTTAGTGTTGGTCTTGGTCATAGTGATACCAGGTCAGCTGTAAGAATAGGATACAGAAAATTCTAAAAGATTTAGTATAAGGTTAAAGGTTCTTCATATGAGTGAACTGCTTTAAAGACTTAGTGGCTATGGCATATTTTTATTGGCATCAGCCAGAATTTTTGGTAGGCAGAGGTAGATGAATAGATACAGAAGCAAACTGGTTAAATAAGGAATCTACAAGTAGGTTTCAGGTATGACAGCTAGTGTAGAACCTTCAGATAAACTACTAAAATTAGACAATAACTAAAGTTGTACAAATGACTAGTTGTACACTCTTTTCATGATTGCCCTCTGTAGTTATAATGCAATCATTAGCCAAATATACTATCAATAAAATCCTGAATCATAAGTATTCATTTTAATATTTAAAAAAAAAACAAAAATACATTTATTATATATTTTTATTATGTTTTAAGATTGGTTATAAAAAGTTTTGACTTAAATTTCTTTATATTAAAATTAGTTTTTAAGTTAGTATTAAGATTTGAAAAAGATTTTTAGAAATATAAAACATTTTTATTTAGAACATCTTGTACTAATTAATTAATCAAATTTTAAAATTATGTATATATAAATGTAAAACACTATAAATGCATTTTAGTAAAATTTAATATAATAATTATAATTTATTTAAATTGATTTATATATATTTAATAACTAAATTTTTTTTATATGTATGTTGTATCTTAAACTAATATATAACTTAGATTATAGCTAATATATCTTAAATATAAATTGTTAAATAAAATATATAATCTATCAATTGGTTAATAGGTATAAAATAATTATATATATATAAATTATTAATAATTAAATATGCTAAAAAACTTAGAAAGAATATAGCAACCTAGTAAAATGGATAGGTTGTCAACCTTCAAGTAACAGGTTTAGAGTTCAAATCCCAATAATAACAAAAATTTGCAATTCTTTCTATATTATAGTTAACTGTCTTTTGTGATTAGTTAGGATCAGATACTTGTAACCTATATTATATCAGCATAACTGAAAGGTCTAGACATTTGTATATTATTGTATAAAGGAACACAAACTAATACTAGGCAATATAAATCCAAAATAAGTTCTTAGGTTATGTAAATTATAAGAATCAGATAAAAAGATAGAAACTCACTTAGAAGACCTAAATAGAAAAGTAATCTGAAGTTTTGATAGTGCTACTGTAAAGACTAGACCTATAAATAGAACTAGAACTTGTAAAATTAGGCAAATGTGCTAGTCTTTGAGAAGAGACCAGATAAACCAACCAGGCTACTGAAATTTTTGAATTTTAGAGAAAAAAGATACATGCTGAAAAATATATAAATCAGAAGTATGATTATAACCTACCTTTCTGGATTATCTGAAATGATAACTTGATAGAACTTAAATTGAATATCAAAGTAGTAGAGATATATTATAAAGTCAGTATTAGGGTTGAAGTAACTCTACAAGAGCATAATAGTTTAATAATATGCCTTAAGATTGTCAGAAATTTTAAACTAAAAGAAAAGAATCTTGAAAAGACTGACCTTTGAAATATTAAAAACATATCACAATCCTTTTGAGCTATTTAGATTAAAAGTCTGAAAACTAAAGCAGAGTATAACTAAGTACTAGAGATATGCTATGAAGTCAGTACTAAGATCTAAGTAAACTTTACAAGAATGAATTTTGTTAACAAGTTTAAATGTAGATACTTAGTTAGTAGAAGGTCTCTGGAGTTTTACAGTCAGGTAATGTATTTTGAAATATGTAATAGATTAATGGATATACAGACAAAAAGGTCAAAGTTAGGTTAAACAATACTTCAGTATACAAAAACTTGTATGCTATCTGCTAGTATAGTATAAAGATTACCTTGTACAAGTTACAATATGTAATCATAATTAAATTTACAATAAAGACAGTAGCTACTGATAACTAATAGCTTTTGTGAAAGCAAAAAAAAAAAAATTTAAAACAAAAAAAAAATCTAAATTTCTTTATATATACTATATATAAAAAAACAAAAACAGAAAAAAATAAAATAAAAAAATACTAATTAAAAATCTAATTTTAGAAAAAATACAAGATAAGCTAACATAATTCTTAAATACAAAATCAAAATAACAATTTACAAACATGATAATAAAAACAGTTTAAGATAATTTTAAAAACAAGTATAAAAAACACAATATAAATGAAAAAAAAAATAATAAGATAAAAAAATCCAGAAGAAAAGAAATTTAGATTAAAGAAAAAAATAAATTAACAGATAATAAAAAAGAGAAAAAATTAGAACTAAATTAAAAAAGTTACAAAGACAATGTTAGAACATATCATAAAAATGAAAAGATCTTTTTATTATAAACTTTAAAATAATCAAACAATCTACTTCTGTTTGAAGTAATGTAACCAGTTGCATTTAGATATTATTAGAATAACTAAGTAATACTAGACTTAGATATTAGGTATCTCTATGTAATTGTAAAAGTAATTCCAAGAATCTTAATAAAGTACTAACATGACTGCTTAAGTTAAAAAAAAAAAAACTTAAAAATAAAAAGATTACATCTTTAAATTCTGAAATAAGAACTTATAGAATTTTAACAATATAAAGCCTACAAATCTATATATAGATAAAATTTGGCCACTACGTATTAATAAAAAATTTTAATTTTATATCAAATTATCCAATTATATTATTGCTTTTTGTTTAAACTTGCTGTCTCACACCGTAAATTAGTTATTATACAAGTTATAAGGTATAATGCTACAATTTTGTTGTTTTACACATTTTTTAATAAAAAGTTTCATTATAATTATAATTATTTTTCTTTTTTCGTTTGATACAAATTTTAATTTTATTATCATAACATTAAAATTTTGCCTATTGATCAGATATGCTTGATTCCTCATCTTTGTGGTCATTTGATGAAAGTTTGTTATCAACACTTGAGTCATTAGTATTTTCAATCGGATCGATTTTTTCATCTGGTTCGGATGTTGAATTAAAAGGCTTCTCAATCTTCTGAATCGTTTCTATCATTCTAGCAGTTCTAGCCCATTTTCTCCTACGAGTATATCTTCTAAATGCACTTTTAGAAGACGGATTATTCCACCGATTATCGAAATATTCCCAACCCTCTTTATCAACGGCACCCCCGTAATCAATCCACCAACCCGGATCAACCCACTCCCATTCTATTGTCTTTCGTGTATTAGGATCTTCCGGCGTTATCATTTCTTTACGCTGAGGAAGTTCAAACGTATCTTTATCATTAACTGGTTCGTTATATTCATCGGACCTGTATGAGAAATATAATAAAGTTAGTGCTAATAAAGGATGCGTATATGGAGATATATGTTTTTATTTAAATATATATATATAAATACCAGGGAGGCCTTTCGTTAGGAAATAAATTCGTCGTCCAATCTAATCCAAGCCACCAACGTTGATTTTCACATATGACAAACCGATATATTAAATCTACTGACGTTTTGGTGTCTTCTTTTAAAGATATATTTTTTAAAGGGAGTTTTTTTGGCTGCTCCCTTACTGCGGGCAAACTTCTAGTGCCAACGTTTTTACTACCTTCTTGTTGAAAATCTCCACACCACAGAAAACCAAATACAAAACTAACAATTCTACTGAACAATTGAGATCGCATAAGGGTATATCGGATAACTTTGGACCACGGACTATTCCACACCAAGAAAAATGTTCCAACAATTATGAAAGTCCATGTTAACGATACAAAATAATTGAATAAAATCCATACAGGATATGAATAAGCTAAACCCATCAACACCTTCCGTGTTTGTACAGGATCTGACCAATTGATATAAGAATTCGCATTATTGAGAAGTTTATGAAAAGAAGAAAGTTTATCCGAAATGTTGTGTATCTCCTGAACGGTTCTATTTAGATCTAGTTGCGAAGCCGCTAATGTAAAGTTAGACTTTCCTTAAAACCAAAAAAAAAAACATCAACATAAATATACCTCAACAATTTAGTTTACATTAGCAAAAGATGTTATGCAAATATTATATGTTACCTAGTCTCTCACTTTTCCCTTTTTCAACCCAGCTCCAACTGATCCACGAAATTAAGCCTATGTGAGTACCATAAATTATTAATTCTCTGGGGTAAAGGCAAATAGTCCACCAAGCAGCCACAAGCAAGCATGATTCAGAAGAACTTCTTGTTGACCATGAGAGCAAGGATAAAAAATATGAGAACAAGTGTACGAGAGGAGAGGTATAAGTCAAAACGCGGGTAATACTCGACGGAGTGGAAGCCAAAAAATCAACGTGAGAAGGTTGTTGTGGGAGGTTATAACTGTTTGTTGTTACAGGGGTTACGTGAGATACTTTAGAAGACATTTCAGCCTCTGGAACGTCAGGGTCTAAAGAAACATTTGCGAGAAAGAAAGCCTGGGAATCAAATACGAACGACATCGATCAAAGCATGAAGGCAAAGCACTATTTAATGGGGAGAATCATATGTTTTTATGCATGAATTTGATTTTTGGCAAGATAGCGGTACAGGTAAAATATCTGGTTACAAGGTGTCACGGACCAACTATTACATAATTAAAGTATTACACGTGATTATAAAATATGTTTATTTAAAGTCTATTACTAAGTTTACATATTTTAAATAGGTGTCATCTTGTTGTTTTTAATACTTTCAGGTAAACGCAATTGGTAATCTATATTAATGAATAGTAAGTAAGAAAAATTAATGATAACTAGGAAACACGTAAGAATATAACTTGCCTCCATTTTGCGTGATATATCTCACCCAAGGTAATGCTTGATAACCACTCTTTTCAACAATTTTTAAGTAGCGAACTTGAATCCCAGACGTGGTGAAATAGGGTATTTCAAACTTGACGCCAATCGGTGGTTTTTTATCAGGGTCATCTACTGCATTTATTTTTGTAGTTAACTCGTGATAGCAATTATTATTTTCAACTTTTAGTAAAAAACGTACCATTTTTTACTGAAGGCAGTCCGAAATGTGCACGCATTAAAAACTCTTTGCCACCCTGGAATTGTTTGATTTTCCAAACAAGACAAGACTTTTCGGGAGCGTAATGAACAGAACCAATACTACTCTGTTACGACAGACAACGAATTAGAAATCAAGAGTCTAACATTATTATTATTCAAAATGTTATATCAAATACCCTGAATTTTGGTGTATCTGCATCATCAGGTACAGGAACATATATTTCAACATTGTTCGCTGTAGAGCGTCGTTTGAATTGAGCTTTTGCCTTAATCATATATTCAATTCTAGAACCAGCATAACTTTCCACGAGTGCTTCAACCCAAATCAATGGTTTGACCTAATAACATAGATAATAAGAATTAATAATATTAGATCTAAGGTGCTTGTCATGTTAGAAATAATTTATCTTGCCTGTGTGTTTAATCGGTAGCTCATCAGTTCAAATTCACCATCTGGAGGTATAAATGAAATGGTACGATCATTCTCAAATCGAGATAATCGAACACATTGATGGAATTTCACATCTTCCATTTCAATGGCTTTCCCTCGAGAAGGAGATCGACCAGTACTTTCAAACATGACCTTGTCATTTAGCCCAAGTCGTAACTCAGGCATACCACTTAAGTAACATTTCATCTTAATTATCCCAAGAATTTCACTACGTAGTACATTTCCATTTGCATTAACTAATAAATTTACGGATTCAATGACATCCAAAAAAACTTCATTTTTTCGATATTTTATGCCTTCGGAACGCCATGAAACCGCATTGGTTACTGCCATTGGTGGTCTAACTTGAATTTCCAATTTATGTGATTCTTGAGTTATATATCTGTTTTAAAAAAGCGTTATTATCTTATCAAACACCCTCATTTATATTAAATCATTTAATTAGTTTAAAGATTTACTCTTGTAATATTTTAGTTTCGGTAGTTTGAGGATATCCGAAATCCATCATTTCATCAAGTAACTCGTAAATAATGACAAAATTATCTCGAATGGATTCTTCTTCGAGTTCTTTAAAATATTCTGTAAAGACCTAATTTTTAAATTGCAATATTTTATGTTAACGAATTATAAGCCTATGTCATTGAATTATTTGATTTCCAAGAAAAATACCTCGGCCAGTTTATGTAGGAATAGTAAAATCGTAGTTGCATTAGAATTTTTCTTTGTTAGGGCTAACACTACCAAAACATCATTTCGTGTTAAGAGATCCTGACGGTGAATGAAATTAAGTAGACATCACTGCTTTTGACAAAGGATACAGTATAGATTATTGTGGCGTATGTACAAATAATTTATGCCCTCATGAGTGAAGCAGGGTGTTGGTGCTTGCTGTTCTTCCTCAGCCTCTAATACCAAAGGCATAAATTTTTCTACAGCCGACATTGGAATGTCGCCACGATAATTACGAGAAATAAGGACTTTTCCTTTTAGATCCAACACAAATACTGCAGATGCCATTTCGAATAACGTTATTTAAAGTTGCCTTGCCCTTTTTTATTGCAAATCAGATCGTGAAATTAACAACGATTAGTCTCTTTTTGTGAATTTTGATAGGGCGTAGATCGAATTTCCTAATCGTGCAACTTTAAATCCAATCGTGGTTCGCTATTTGCTAACTTACTGTCGATCATCACGTGACAGAGGAATTTTTGTGTATCTGGAGTAGGGATGGTCATTTTCTGCTGAATTATGCTATAAATTATGCGTATCGGGCAGAAATATGCGATCACAAATCACAATTTTGGTAAATCATATTTCATGCTTGATATAAAGCACTGGCATTCGGGTTTCAAAGTTAAAGTGTGGGAATCTAATTTACGTTGAAATTGATGACATCTTTATTATCATATCTTATATACAATACAATAATAACAAACAACAATAATGTAATAATGACTACACTGATACAATGAAACGGTGGTTTCCAAACATGAACCCTTATTTATCGTTATTTTCAAATGCGCATCATTTTTTTTAATTTTAAAACCCCTTATCGTTATTATTTTATTGCAAAAGCTACAGTAAGTTTAAATTTAATATTGACTACGAAATCCAAGAAAACTTAGTTGAGATTACAAAATCATGAAATACAGAACAAATTTTATAAGCATCCAAATTTATTACGTACTATTTCAACAATTTTAATGAAATAAAATGAAGATAGAATAAAATCATATATATATATAATTTTTTTTTTTTTAAAAAAAAAAAGCCCCATTACTATTGCTATAACAATAATGTAATTTAATAAAATAAGTAATATATTGTAAAATTATAGAAAGTAAAACAAAGTTACAAATAAAACTATAATACAGTAATTTATACTTACAGAATATTCTTGTTTTTACTTGTTTATTCTCAAAATATCGTTATTCTTGACTATTGTTATTAAAGTACATAAAATTTAATGTCTCAATGGATGTTTTAGAAAGTAAATGTTAATTATCATCAAGAATATTATTGTATGCAGAAAAACTTCATTTTACATCTACACCTAATACAGAAAGCTAAATATAATTCAATGTTAATTTTGATAAATTAGACAGACTTCAGATTTTTTCTTTCTAATAAATATCTAAATCAAAATTTTTAATATCAGAAAAATCTTCATTTAACTTACAGTAAATTTCCTACTCTTAAATTATTTGATTGTTTGGTAATTTAAATTCAGGAATTTCTAAATATAAAGGAATATTTTGATGATTTTGTTGAATATAAATAAACTATGAATTAAAACATTGAATTGCTTTAAATAAAGATAATATAGGATGTTGATTGATATGTTTTTTAAACTTATTAAATGTCAATTGATATACCTTATGAAATATTGTAATATATGATTTCATTTCAAAATAATTATTTTTAAATTTAGATTTGATTTTTTTACTAATAGAAGGTTCGATAATACCCAATTGTAATGAAGCTTCAAGGTGTATTAAGTGTTGTATTACAAACAGCACAATAAGTTTTTTCCTAATTTCAAAAAATTCAAGATTTTTTACAAGACTTAAATAAAATAAAATTAGCATTATATTATTTTATAAATAAAGCAGTAACAATAATAGTAATATTTATTATATTGCATTAAATGATATAAACATAGTCAAAACTTTAAAAATAAATATATTTATATGATCTTTAAAAATAGTTGCTAATTTTTTAATTGTTTGATTTTTATTATTAATTTGTTTTTCTTTAATATAAAATAAACATAACTGGTTAAAATTTTGATTAATTCAAAAAACAAATCTAAATCAACTATTTCATCATGTTTTAACAGATAAGAGTGGTAAAATAATTTGATTATTATTATATAATAAAAATAAATCTGAATTAAAGTTAGATTTTAAAAAACTAATCTAACATTTTTTACGAGCTGAATTTTGAAAAAAGGATGCTTTGCTATTTTTAACAATATTAACTAAAAAATAAAAATTTTTATAATGAATCTATATTTTGCCAATCAAGTTTAAAATATGAGCAAACAATAATTATGTTTTAATTGTAAAATTAATAATAATATAATTTGAAAAGCTTTTAGTATATATGCTGCATTATCAATAATAAAAAAAAACAAGATTTTTAAATAAAATATTATAGAATTGTAAAGTTTTTATAACTAATTGGATATTCGAAGTACTATCTATAATAGTAATAAATTCTGTTTTAACAAGTTTAGTTTAATTATTAAAACTAAATAAAATATTAACAACTGCTCTACTATATACATCTGTAGTTTTATCTACAGTAATAGAAATTCACTTATTCTTTAAAAAATCTTGTAATTTTAAAACTTCTATTTCAAATACCTTTGGTAAATATTTAGTATAAAATTGATGTGAACTTGCAATAACACTATCTAAATAAAAGTAAATTAATTTTTTAAAATAAAATATATATTAAATATAATAATTTACTATTTTTATAATACTTTAAAAAAGAATCTTTAAGTTTATCAACTTTATATAAAGAAATATTAGCTTTAGTAAATGCATTAACTAAAGTAATATTAATAAGTTCATATCATTTAAATTTATACTAGCTATATTGAGAGTTGTTTGGTTGGTTAATTTTAATTTTTCAGCTTTATTAATATTGTTTTTATGTTTGTCAGACTTTAAATGTGAATCCAATGTTAATTTTTTTGTATGATCTATAATTTGTTAACAAAATATACAAACTAGTTTTTGACCATCTACATAAAAATTTTTTTATATTTTGTATTTTTAAGTTTACATTTATTAAGAGAAACTAAGATTAAAAGTTACAAAAAAAAGAATAAAAAAACATTCTTTTATAATTTTATTATAAATCAGAAATATGCAATTTTGATCTTTATTTTTATTAATTCATATATATATATTTTTTTTTTTAAATATTAAGGTAAGTACTTGTGACCCAGGATTTTATTGATAGTATATTCAGCTAATAGTTGCATTACAACCATAGAGGGCAATCATAGAAAGAGTATACAACTAGTCACTCATACAACTTTAATCATTGTCTAATTTAAGTAGTCCATCCGAATGTTCTACACTAGCTGCTATACCTAGAACCTGCTTGTAAATACCTATTTAACCACTCTGTTTTCATATCCACCTATCTACCTACATCTACCAAGTTGTCCTAGTCGATACCAGTGCAAATATGCCATGATCACTAAGTCTTTAAAGCAGTTCACTCATATGAAGAACCTTTGACATTGTACTAAACCTTCTAGAATCTTTTGTATCCTATTCTTACAGCTGACCTAGTATCGATATGGCCAAGACCAATACTGGCAGTCAGGGCATATTATTTAACCACTATACTCTTATAGAGTTCACTTCAATCCTAGTACTGACTTCACAACATATCCCTACTACTTTGGTATTCAATTTAAGTTCTACCAAGCTTCCAAACCAGATAGCCCAGAAAGGCAGGTCATAATCATACACCTCTGGTTTACATGTTTGCCAGCATATAACCTTTTTCTCTGGAACTCGGAAATTCCAGTAGCCTGGTTGGTTCCATTCGGCCCCTTCTTAAAGGCCAGCTCTTTGTCCGATTTCACAAGTTCTAGTTTTATTTTATAGGTTTAGTCTTTACAGTAGCACTGTCGAAAGTTCAGGTTACCTCTCTACTTGGATCTTCCAAGTGGGCTTCTGTCTTTCTACCTGGTTCCCATGATTTATATGGCCTAAAGACTTATTTTGGATTCACACTGCTTGGTACCAGTTTGTGTTCCTTTATACAATATTGCATGAATGCCTAAACCTTCTAGTTATGCTGATATGACACGGGTTACAGGTGTCTTATCCCAACCAATCACGAAAAACAGTTAACCATAATACAGAAAGAATTGCAAATTTTTGCTGTCACTGAGATTTGAACTCTAGACCTGCCACTTGGAGATTAACAACCTATCCACTTTACTAGATCACCACATCTCTTTCATATATTTTTATTAATAATAGTATATATATATATATATTTTTTTTATTTTTTTTTTTTTATATTGGCAGTCATGCTAGTACTTTATTAAGATTTATGGAACTACTATTGCAATTACATAAGTGTACCTAACAACTAAGTCTAGCCTCACCTGGCCACCCTAATGGTGCCTAAGTGCAACCTGCTGCATTACTTCAGATAGAAGTAAGAGGCTTGTCTAACTACTTAAAGTTCATAATGAAAAGGTCTTCTCCCTTTCATGACCAGCCTTAAAATTGTCTTCCTAGCTTCATCTTCAATCCATTTTTTCTTCTCTCTTTTAATTATTAAGCAAAAGGATTCTATAATCCTTGCCTAAAGAACAACAAGATTTAAGAAAGAAAAAACTAAAAAGGAAGTAAAAAAAAGGGTGACTAACTACAAAATCTAAACGTAAACCAAAAGAAAAAAAGAAAGAATAAAAAAAAGAAGGACAAAGAAAAGAACAAAAAGAAACATGAAGGCATTATTTTTGCTCATGCATGGCTTTAAAAATTCTATATAATACTAAATAAAGACTACTTCACATTTGCTTTATCTTCGTATTATAATATATTCTATTTGTTACGTGAAGAAAATGATCGAAGTTTTTATTTTCCTCTTGAGTTTGACACGTGTTGTCCATTGTAGGTCCGATACTCATTTCATGGTTTTCTTGTGACTAACATTACTGATTTGGCAAGGTAAACAGTGCTGATCCTTTGAAGGGGGTATGTCAGATTTCCCACTTTTTGGTAAAAGTTTCGAAAGAAAAATCCAATAATGAGAGCGGAAGGGAAAACCAACTTGATAAGAAGTTGTAAGAGTTATGCTATATAGAATATTATACTAAACCAAGTAACTATTTAGGCCTAAGCCCTTATAGCACTTGACAAAGCTTCAGAGCTTATCTACTACTTTTTTGCTTAGTAGTACTTGTGTTTTTTCAAGGGACTTCGCTTACAAGGGTTCGAATATTTTTCAGCTCTTTTCAGTTACTACCAAGCATGCAGTGAATATCTCTTTAGTTACCTCAAAGTAAAGTTTTGTTTTGTTTTAAATACAATAACTATATAGTTTTCATAGGTCAGACTTTTGAAAAAAGTTGGTATGAGGGATCATTGGAAAGAGTTTTGCGTTAAAGATATGTTAAATGCATGTTTAATTTCTATTTGGCTAAAACTTCTTATCTCAAACTCAATATAAGTGGTATATAAAAGAAGCAAAATAAGCATAATGCTTAAAGAAAAAAGAAATATCTTTTTATTACATGTCTTAAACTCAAATAATATATACTTAAAAGCTTGGTCTACAGAATGAAAACCCTATCCACTAGCTTGAACAAGAACTAAAAAAAGAATTCTTTCTACTACTAACTGGCCTTGGGACAAAAAAGAAATTATAGTTGATGAAATGAAAAAAAATAAGCTCTCAGTTAAAAAAATCTTGAAGCTCTTAAAAAAGGCTACTCTACTATCTATTTCTCTTTACTCTGCATTTCAGACTATACAACCTACTTGGCTTTCTTTAAAATTTATATGCAACAAGAAAAAAAACATTTTTTGGCAGCTTTTTTATAGAGCTCTTTCTTTAGAATATTACCTTAAACACATAGGGCCATCAGAAACAGACAGCTGTGTCTGGTATCTAGAAGAGCTACAAACTCTGAAGCATTTTGCTCTTGAGTGTTCTAGAAATATAATAATTTAAAAGAAAGCATATAAGTTTCTAAATTTTAATAAGGAAAAACCTTTACTGACCAACTTAGAAAGTGTTTTTCAGGCTTCAAACATTAACTATGCTCAAGCATTAACTACTATAACCTGGCTATATATTAATATAATCTATGAAATTTGGTGTTGATATATCTCATTAAAATAGGAAGGCTCTGATACTCCTCTAAGTTCTCTTAGTATACTAATTAAAGCTCATATTTCAAAAAAAATACAGGTTTTAAAACACAATATACTAGGTCATAGACCTAAAACTGCCAAACTAATCTATAAATATCTAAAATGTATTTAGACTGTTTATAATATTTTAATATAATAATATATTAATAAAGAGCATCACTTGCACCCCTAGTTGCTAAAAGCAATAGAGATACTCAAAAAAAAAAGTTAAAATTTTATTATTTAAATAATTTTAATATTTTAATTAAAATTTGAAAAAATAAATATATTTATTAAATTAGTAAAATTTTTTTAAACTTTTGAAAATTTTAAAATAAATATAATTTAATCTTTTAAATAACTTAGAATATTAAAATTACTTAATAAAATTTTGACTTTAATATGTAATTACAATTATTGTTAAATAAATTTTTTAAACTAATTTATTTAGTTAAACAATAAACTAAAAATTATAAAAAAACAAAATAAAAAAATTACAAATCAAACTAAAGTAACATAAATATCTAAAAAATAGTATTTTTATTTTATTAAAATTAGTAATTTTTATTATTAAAACTTCTAAAAAACACTATATGCATATAGTAGCCAATAAAAATAATATCTAATTTGCAGATCATTATATATAAGCAAATAAAAAGGCTGTGCATACTTCATTTTTATGAATTTTAGAGGATTTTTGATTTATTTTTTGGTTCTATAATGTTGAAAAAATCAAGTATATGCAAAAAAAAATTTTTTAATAAAAATGTTATATAAACAAATAATAAAAAAAAAATAATTTTTGCTTATATCAGTACAATGAATACTAATAAAGTTATCTACAAGATTAAACATAATTTAAAAACAGTTTTAAAGTTTTACAAAAATACAGGAAGACCAAAAAAATTAAGAACTTATCTTAGTTTGAACATTTTTCTACTTTGAAAAAGCAAGAAAAGACCATTATAATAAAAAAAGCATTAAAGAAAAGACATGTATTACTGCTTAAAATTGTAAAGGATTTAAACCTTCAATGCAATGTGCAGACTGTAGCTAAGACTTTATACAATGTTGGACTTTGTTCTTGCATCAATGTTTTGAAATCTTTTTTGTTAAGTAGCAATATAAAAGAATGAATAAAATGGTATAATCAAAATAAAAATAAAAATGTTTACTATTAATAACATAATATTTTTTAGATAAAATAAATATAGAAGTAAATAAACAATTTTACTAAGTTTATATATGATATTATACAGATAAGAGATACAAACATGAGTGTTTACAACTAAATTTTAAAAGTGAAAAGGTCTTAGTAATAGTATGATCATGTTTTATTGATAACACTAGGTTAATGTATAGCATTGTATATTCAGAGCATATGATAATCATCATATTGCACAAACATATGATTGTATGTTTTTTATTATACTATGTGCAGACAGACAAAATTTTCAAAATTGTATTTTTAATGCATTAATAATTATTTAATCAAAAATGTAATTTTAATGCATCAGAAATGCAACTTTTGTATTACTATGACTAAATATTAAGTATCCTTACTATGCTTTGAATAATTAAAGATCCTATAGTATTTTTTAATGATTATAAAAATTTTAAGCAAAAAATTAATAATAACATTTATATCAAAGTGTTAAATAACTATTTTATACTATTTTTAACTGCAGTTTATTTGTTAAATGTTTTCTATTTAATTTTTTATATGATAATATTCTGATTTATAAGATATCAGATTAGCTAAATTTGAAAAACATTGATTATATGAATTGGTTTTTATAATTTTCTAATATTAAATTTATAAAAAATATTTGAAATATTGTAAAAGACAATATTTAGAACTGTGATAACTTTTTAAAAAACAAATCTAACCTTAAAACAGCCTTATAGGAAGTATAATCAAATTTGAATACATCAGTTCTTTATGTCATTGCAGACTTAATAACATAAAGAATTGATACTATCACAAGTATAGAAGGATGCTTAGTGAAGTATTAAATAAATATAAAAAAAATTTAATATATTTGCAACCAAAATTAAATAAATAAAAATTTTATTTTTTGATCAAAAATCAATAATTTAATAATAAAAAAAATACTTAATTGATATTGGTAAAAATCATATATAATAAAATACAAATATCAAATTTTTTAATTATATAAAATAAAAAAGTATTTATTATTAAAATTTTTGATTTTTAACAAATTTAGAAAAAGTGTGATAACTTAATAAAATGGATAAGTTGTCATATCCTAAGTAGTACCTATATAATATATAAATAGTATTATGATGATAGCATTCTGTCAATCAGTTGAAATAGGATACCTGTAACTATAGTTATACTAGCATAACTGGCAGATCTGAAGCATCTATATAACTTTGGTTATATAGAGAAATGCAAACCAGTACTAGGTAGTGCAAATCTAAAATAAGTTCTTGGACTGTATAAATTCATAGAACTGAGAAGCTGAAACTCACTTAAAAATTCTAAACAAAGAGGTAATATGAATTTTTGATAATATTACTGTAAAGGTTAGATCTAGGAAATGAATACCAATATGAAGAAATTAGGCAGACAAAAATCTTAAATAAAAAATATCACCAACTAGACTACTAGATTTTGGACTAAAGAAAAAAGATATTAGGTTAGTCTCAATATATCAAAAACAGGTCACAGTCCTTCTAGACTATCTGGATTGAAAGTTTGAGATCAAAGCAGAAATATACTAAAAGTACTAGAGATATGCTATGAAGTCAATACCAGAATCTAAGTGAACTCTGTAAGAATAACTTTTGTTAGTGTTCTAAAAGTATATAGATAGTTAACAATGAGGACCCTCTGTGCCTTACTGGCAGGTAATATATTCTGAAATATGTAATAACCTGAGAACTAGTACAAAAAAAATAAGTACCATACTGCTCAGATGGTATATCAGTTAGGTATATATAGGTTAGTTAGAATTACATCATGACAAGATAGATGATTAGAAGTTTAAATGAATAATCTTCTAATAGGTTATAGGTATGACATCTAATATAGAATCTTAAAGTGAACTACTTAAATAGGCAACCAAAAGTTGCATATGTGACTAGTTATACTCTTATCTCTGTAAAAATACTTGTAATAACTAACCCAATAAAAGTCAATAAAGTATCATCACAAAGTATGACCTTTAACAAAAAAAAAAAAAAAAAACCAAGTTTAAAAAATTATATTTTTATTATGTTTTTACTATATAAATTTTATAAAATTTAATTGTAAACTTTATGTTATATTAAAACTTAATATTTTTTTAAAATAATAATTTTTAATTTATATTGCTTATAAAATATAATAGTAATATGATTAATAACTATAGTTTAAATTTTTTTAAACCATTTTTAAAAATTTATATTAAATTTTAAAGTTAAATTTATAAATTTTAAATGTTTTATATATGAAATTTTGGATCATAAACTTTATAAATTAAAAAAATATATAAGCCAATTTTTTTGACCAATGAAAATTATACATCATAAAATATAAATATTAAATTTACTAATTATATAAAATAAAAAATTTTTAATAAAAATATATTAACTTTATAAGTTATATAAAATTTCAATTTCTTATATGTTTTATTATAAAAAACTATCGGGCGTTACTTTTGCCGCCTACTGTACGTACCAAATAATAATTGTTATTGTCTCAAGTAATAACTGAGATGCCCAGATAACAATCGAGATACCTCACGCACCTCATTTGACGATTGATATCTGCAATCTAAGGCACAACATATATAAAACCTTTTTTCTTGTTAGTAAATCATTCTCAAGATTCTAAGTAAAATTATAAAACTTAGAGCTATCTAATAATAATGAGATCAATAAAATTAGTTTACTGATTCCGTCATCAAAAACGTTTTGCGATTATATAAAACGTCTATATTAATATATATATATATACTATAACTAGCGCTACGTAAACTCTCAGACCGGTAAAATAAATCAAACCAAGATTAACTTTGTATCAACTCTAATATATTACTAATTTGACATCGATATAACTTGTTCTGCTCTAATTGACCGGTTACCATTTTTTGTCCTGGGACAATACTAAAATCATTATACATATCACAATAGTTATATTTCAACGATATTAAGAAAAAAAGTGATACGTACGTATAATCCAGATATGACTATATTTAGTTAACTTATTCATTATCATCATACACTCGAATGTTCTGACCTATATCCCAATCACTATTTAGTTATAATCCACATATCACCTGAAATATGTATATACAAGGTGTGCATTCATGTATTTGCTTATGATCTATGCAATAACTCATCCTTGGAGTTATTAATTACGACAAATATAGATTCTAAAAAAAAATTTTAACAATGATTATTGAACATTATTGTTAAATTTCTGTTTTTAAATTGTGAATGAAAATCTATACTAATGAATGTATTATACGTATACGTACATACGTGTGTTAGTAATTTATAGTACGTACAAGCAACTTTTTTAGAGAAACAATTTATTTTTATATTACGTGCTGGTAAGAAGCATCAAAACTTGTACATAGGTGCATATTTCCAGAGAATGTCCATGATTTCTATTTATAAGGTTTTATAATATTTTTAGGTAACTAAAATATTATTAGCGTGATGTAGTAAATTCGATGTGTATACAGGAATCAATGTTTCCGCACCTTTGTTGGGTCCCGCCATTCACGAACCTATTTAAAGATTATCCATAAAAAAATATTCAGTTGGAAAAAACTAAATTTACAAAATACATCATACTACAACAATTTTTATTTAAGCAATAATCCAAATGAAATATAAAAAATTTCTAGTGTATCACATTATAATAAAGGTATGGCAGAACCCAAGTATAAAAATTTACCATTGTACAAATAAAAAAAGATGTTTAATATTTTTAAAATTATTTACAGTCTTACAGGCAAAGTTACCTGCGAATTATCATGATTGATCTATAAACTATATTAGTAGTAGTACATATCGCAGCGTATTTGAAGCTAAATTATGATTTGGATAATCATAGAAAGTTCAAAATAATCTATTACAAATACCTTTATGAATATACATTTATATAAAATGCCAGAAGGCATTAAAAAAAACTCAATGAGTAATCAATCCATGAGATCAGGACAAATATTTCGCGATCATCAGTTTTTGCAACGCGTTGATTTTTTACCCGTACCCAATTTTAAACTAAGGACAATTCAGTTACAACACTAAAAGCAGAAATGCTTTTTAAAGCAAAAGAACATTACTATTAATTTAAAATTGAAAGGTTAACTAGCTAAGACTTGATTTTTTTCCATCGTGAAAGAATTATCGCTTGTTTATTTTCGAGGCGTTCAACTAATAAAGTTATTCATTATATACACTTCCCGCATCATGGTTATTTGATTGTTTTGATAATCGTTGTCTTCGACGCAATTTTTTTCTTAATGCCTTCAATATAAGTCCTTTCAAAACTTCCTGGTATTCTAACATTTGCCATGTACGACAAAAATTAGCAGCAACGGTATCGGCATCTTCATCCTTGTAAATCACCAAAAATGTCACTAAGCGGAACATGCCAATAATGTCTAATCAATTAAAAATGTTTAAGGTCAACGTACCACGCTCATTTCCAAAGGTCTACGCCCATATACTGGAGTCTCAACGAAGATACTAAATTTGCTATCTTCTCCGTTAAGATTATAACTTGGGTCTCTACCGTTAGACATTGTATATGTGCTATCAGATGACTGTAGAGCTGACAGAGATATTTCTTCTTGGTCATCTACAACTGTACGTGTAGACTGATTTCCTTTATCGTATATAGCAATTGGAGAAGTTAAGTTAGTTTCGGGGGAATCATTTGATATGTCATGCGTAGAGCCATTCGATTTTATGTCATCAGTTTGAAAAGCAACTTTGGTATTCGTCATGTTTTCCACAATTGAACCATTGGTTTCCGAACGTTTATTCGAAACCGTTTCAGCCAAGTATCTATGATTACCATTCACTTGAGATGAATGTGGACGATTGTCATTGCTTACTGACATTAAAGTGTTGTTACTTTCATTTTTATTAAAATAATAAAGATCCATGAAATCATTCATTAAGTCATGATTCATCGGCGATATTGTGGAATATGAAGCAGAATCATATAATGAATCATTCAATTCAGCAATATCTTTATTGATAGTACCAAAAAAATTCGAATTATTATTTTCATTGGATTTTGATTCCTGATCCTGGCTATAATTAAGATCAATCAAAAGATCTGATTCAGCTTCTTTTATAATTCCATCTCTACGTTTTTGCTCATTCAGAGTCGTATCAATAACATCATTCACAAACCAAGAATCATTTTCAAGCCCTGTATCTTCCATCGGAATATCATCATCAAATGTTAAATCTATATTTATTTCCTTTCCAGATAAATTTAATGGATTATCCCATTCAGAATGAGAATCAGGTTTCCTAGTTATCTTATCATCTTCGTCCCTATTAGGAGTTGATGACAAAGGCTCATCCGAATCATCTGATGAACTTTTGGAATCAGAGATGTCTGGTAAATCGAAATTAATCAGATCACCACCTTTTTCAAGTTTAGGATAGTCTATGTAATTTTCATTTTGAAGCCACTCAAGTTTAGGTATCCATTGGGGATTACCAAGGCGTTCGTGAGATTCTTTAATAGCTGGTGCTTCATAATTTAAATGACCCTTTTTATCTTTTAGAGTTTCATTATCCGAACTATCCGTTAATTCAATAACAACATTCCCAATTTCTCCTGGGTTAGACATTGTCAAACCACGTTCTTCGCTTTCGTTTACAACTGGCTCATCCAAAGAAGAAATATCGAAGGATCGGGATTGAATCCCTTGGCGTCCAAAACGAGTCCTTGTCAGTTGTCTCACGTCAGTGAGTTTACTACCATCAGAGGAATATTCAGATATTTGTTCCGTTATTTGATTCTCTTCGCTAACATTTACCCAACTCCCATTTTGCAATGACCAGAATGTAGTTTCCTTTTGTTCTTCTATTAATTCGATGCAATATCCTTGGCGAGAATCGTTCCAAGGGATACATTTAGTAGGAGGTGCACCCCAGCCCTCACAATCATCGAGATCAAAATTAACGGCTGGTGTATGTTTTTTCTTGAAATAAATTGGGGCTTTTGCTTCTTGGATAGTCAAATTATTAACTTCATTTGGGTCCCAAGTAGGAGTTGGAGGTTCAGGTTTTGGCGGAACGGCATCGCTTGACCATTTTTTGTTACTTCCCCAAACAGATGCAAAATTTATGCTCGCCTGACTCTGAGCATTAAATTCTACATCTGCGCTCTGAGAAATCTTTTTATTTTCTACTTCTCCAAGTGTTGGCCATTCTTCTTCATTAAGACGCGTAGATGCACTCTCGGTAGAAATTTTAGGCCATTCATTTTCTTTTACTTTCTGAAACGTGAAATCGTTTTTTGATTCTTTTTTGTTGAATTGTCTGTCCGAAAAGTCTCTGTTAAAATTTGGTGAAGCGGTTGCGCGAATCACTTCATTAGTCACAACACTTGGAGCTTTCCCTTTATCAATTTTCTCAATAATATGATTCCCTTTACCATTCATCATATTCGATTGGTATCCCTCATTTTCATTTTCATCAACTATTTCTGTAATTTTTTCTCTCGGATTATCTGAATGATATGTCGCTGGTTCAGCCGAAGAACCCCAATGATTTCCATTCCATTCGAACTGCCGAGAGGATGATGATTGTCCAAATGATTGATGCTGTGTGTGATCTACGCTTTCGTCGGCGGTAATTCCTAATTCTTCCCATCCACCCAAATCATAGTGCGTATTCATACCGTTCCATGAAGGTGAAAAATCAATAAGTGAATTTGCAGAACGATCAGAAAAAGCGCTCGATGGACGTGCTATCTCTTCATTATTAGTTGGCAATGTGCGCGAATCTTCTTCTATCAACATAGGTTCAGGTGACATAGAAGGTGATTTTACGTTTTGATGTTGTAATTCTCGAGTTGATAAGCTCTGTTCTGAATAAGTTTGAGGTGATGTATTTTCTCTGTTTTGTTCGGAATAAACAGGGAAAGATGTGCTTTGTTCAAAAACAAATTGTCTCTTCGGTATTACTGGATCTAATCGTTCAAATGGTTGTTCCTTTGAAACTTGATTTTGTTCGTTTTCACAATTTCCACTAATTTCATATTTACTAAAGGCATCATCGGTAACAGTGTTTGTAATCCTTGGCTGAATTGATGATGTTGACTCCAAATGATTAGAAGAATGTTGGCTTGGAAAGCTTTCTCGCTCAGAATCTACAGAATTTCGATGTAAGCTAGGGAGTTTAACATTAATCGATGACCATCCGCTCTGCGTTTTTTTAATGACAGAAGACAATGCTTCCGGAGGAAATTGCTGAGATAAATTGCTGCTTATTGATGATATGGTATGACGACGACTTATATATGGTATGGGATCATTTAACGAGTTATCGTAAAAATCTTTGGACGTGCGGCGTGAAGAATCTCGAGAGTCCGTGTGTGAATGTTCATATTTATGGTTGGATGAAAAATACGATTGTTCATGGTTAATATTACCCGCAGGCTTGGATGAATTATATGATTCGTGGCGTATTTTGTGAGAGTGAACAAGTCCGCCTTGGGTGCTATGAACAAAATCCTCGCCAATTGCTGAAGTTGAATTTGATGAACGGTCACTACCAAGAACTTTTTTTACTGCTCTATCCAATACATCAGTAGATAAACCTAATTCAATAGCCAATGCATTTATCTGAATTTCAGAAAGGTTATGCACATTTTGGAAAGAATTAATCTCAGATAATTTTTTGTCATGCGGATGTTGGACTGATTCTGAATGTGAATTTTGATTATTATATTGAGCCAATCTCTTCAAATTATCACCCTCGATAGTACATATACCGGTAAAGTCGTCGGAACCAGAATAATGTTCAGTAGAGAACTGATAGACAAAAGACTCCACTATTGATGGCATCTTGCAAAATGTAATCCTTACAAGTTTAAAAGTATTAGAAACAAACCAGCGCACTCCTGCTGGATCGAAAGATCCACATGATTCGACAAACAATTGAACAAGTGTATAACATGCTTTGTTCGCCAAAATTCTCAAGCAATGATCAGTAATCTTACGACACTCGATTAAATTGACGATGCGCAAATTTTCAGAGTTCTCAGCAATGTTGTCTATCGACCGATCCGTCACGAACGGGCATTTAGAAAGTCCGAATATTTCCAAATGTTTGCAATTATTCGAAAGAATATTAATCAGATCGTCGTCTACTGATAAGTTTTCGAGCAATATCGTACGCAATTTCTGTCCAAGTGGTGTAACCCATTTGATGGTATGAGACATTTCTTTCAAACACCTCAAGTCCAGATGACGCAAATCTTCTAACGAAGAAATAATAGCTTGGAAAGATCTAATAGACAGTTTATCACCGGATAGAAGCAATGTCTGTAAACTAGAATTATTACGTACAAAATGTTCGACGTTGTCATCTGACATTTGCAAACAATTTTGTAGCACTAATTCTTTCAGACGCGTTAATTTTTCGGCTAAAATATTGAATCCACGCATGGACATCATGTCTGTACACAGCTTGAGTGAAGTGAGTTGAGAACATTTGGTCGCCAATATCTCAGCGAAATTATCCGAGAAAACAAACACTCCATCCAGATCGAGGACACGAAGGTCAGGAACACAATTTATAAGCGAATAGATAGTGAACTGAGTGAGATTCTGATTTCCTACCACGCGAAATTCTTCGAGTCCCTGACAATATTGAATTAAAGATTGTATATGGCTATCATTAAGATTCCATCCGTATACTTTAATACTTTTTAAATTCTCACATGATCGAACTAAATTCATGATAGAATTTGGTTTTGATAACACATAAGTACGCATCTTTTGATGCTCTTGACGTTCCGACTTTAAAACAGGTGCAAAAAAGTTTACGAGCTCATCCTCTGGTGCACATAAATCTAATACGCGAACTCTAAGAGCACATGACCTTGATTGTCTAACAGAACGGCAGAATGAATGAAAAGAATCCGGCGTATTAAATATGGGTTCTGACCATAGGATTTCTGTAGCTGCGGGGGTCCATCTTTTATTAACAAGGCAAAAGTTGAAGCGGTCGTGTTGGACGTCTAGGTATTGAGCTATACGCTTTATAATTTTACTTGGCAGCGTTAACGCGAGGTGAGTAGGAAAGTCGTCAAATTCGGTTTGCCAATCATTTTCAGAATATTTTGACATTATTCACAAAATGGTAATCGTTAAAGGTGAATAAGAAAAAAACAAAAAAAAAAACAAACAAAAAAAAGGCAATACGTTGATCGTGGTAATATTTGTAAGATCTTGATAAAAAAAAAATTAAAAATAGGCGGAATCGATACTTTCGAAAGGCGATGTGATGGAATAATTACAAGTTTAATGGCAAGTAATAACAAGTAAGAAAAAAAAAACCAGAAAAAAAGCTGGTTGATCATACCCATTTATTTGAAAATATCATATCACCGAATATTCCTAGAATAATAGCATATCACAGTGACATAGACATTTTTTGAATACTTACGCAATTAAATTAAATCGACAAATAGAGTTCATATATCAATAAACTGAAAATAGGTATCTAGCTTAGTGATGCAATCTTATTATAATGTAATGTTATTATCTGATTATCATGGACGCGACAGTTATTTATCACTTTTTAAATTTACCCAGATTGCTCCAAATTTAGGAATATACTATTAACAACCATATGGAGGATCTTATTCACGAATTTAGCGATTTCATTGGATTTTTGGAGGACACTATATCGAGGGTAATTATCACTACTGCATATCACTATTCAAAAATGGTTGGTACGGAAAAACCGATCTTATGATAATGAAGGTTGATCCTTTAGATCTTTGGGTAATTGTTATCACAATTTACACAACATATCTAAAGAACACGTGTCCACAGACATAATACTATAAATCGATACAATGCGAAAAAAAAATTAAAACAATATAAATCATATAAAACATTTCTATCAACTTTAGGTTCTAAACAGAAAACGAAAGCTGTGATGAGCAACCATAGTAATCAAGGAGGCAGTAGGAATGAGTTGAATGAAAATTTTCAGCAAGCAGGCGGCTCAAGGCAACAGGGTCAAAGCCCGAATCCCATTGAGGACGTAATGGACGCTTTTAAGAGCATAGCCCTCACGGCAGGCTCTGGGGCGATTCTTGCTTCAAATTGGCAATCTACATCACTAATTGATCCTGGTAAAGAACCCCGAAAAGGCCAAGGTAATAACAGAAATCAAAATACAATAGATAAGAGTAATGTGTCTAACGAAGGAAATAAGAATAAAGGTGCCGCCACCGGAAAATTTGTAGATGGTGGCTGGGATAAAAATCAAGACGATCTTTTTTATACGGAACGGAATAGTCAAGAAAAAGCGAATTACTATAATAATCTCGGAAACTCGTACATGGATGTTGGAGGCGCAAATGATCCGAATTCAGGTACAGATGTTGGTAGTATAAATAGAGCGAATAAAAATACTATCGAAACAAATCATAACCATTCACAACAAAATACATGGGAAAATAATAATACTTTTGAAGGAAACACTAATGTCGGATATCAAACGAACGGTGATCGGCCATTGGAAAGAACGCCAAATTCTCCATCCCCTCCACCTCAACAACAACAAAGAGAACAAAATTTTAAGCAGGATCAAGGTTCATCCACGTCACGATCTCCACACACTCAATCTCACCTGTCGCAATCTCAACCTGAGTCTGATAATGCCCATCAACCAGCAGCATTAAGCACAGAATCAATAACTTTGAGAATAAACGCCTGGCACTCTATTGCCGACCCGAATGCTGTAGAAAGAGGTGATGGCATTGGTACCGGACAATTACACCGCAGGGGAAGAAATTATAAGCCTGTTGATGAGGCGACCGTATTAGCGATACAACAGAAAGGAAAAAGCTCTGTCAAGAAACCAAAAAAACAGTTTGAAGATAATTTTGTGCAGTCCACTCCTTCAAACACAAAACCTATACAAAAGAGTTTAAGTAGAACAAAACCATTACCAAGACCTGGTCCTCATAAACTCCCTAATAATCCATTTGCCACTAACACACCCATATCTCCCTCTTCATCCACATCTCTTTCATCATCTACGCCGCACAAGCCACACTCCGTGAAACCAGAAACACGAACGACCGTCAATCAACAAAGAGAAAAAGCACCATCGCCATTGCCTCTACCATCGCAGCAACAACCACAGTCAACACGGGCACCTTCTCAAACACCTAGTCGAGAAAAATGGAATGCTCCAAGTTTGGCTACCACTCCTTTCTGGGAATTGCCGCAAACAAATAATTCACAATTTACTGCAAGGTCAACACAGTATCAACAGTCACAATCATATCGTCATCCATCACCTGCTCGTTCACCGCGACCGTCAAAATACTCGCAGGATTTCTTACCATATATCCCACCAGAGTTCGATTCAACCCCGTACCGAAAGCAATCATCACCTTCACCTGCTCGTGGTTATTCACCCGCTCGTGGTTATTCCCCTGCTCGTGGTTATTCAAATGGTTACATAGATGAACCGCCTGAATACGAACGAGAAAGTAATTTCGATGGTCGAGAAGATTATGAACAAAATAGTGATTTCGATGACGAAAATAATGTATATTACGAAGAGGATGAGAGTTACTCCGAAAAGGAAGGATATGAGTCAGCATCTGTATTACTCGATGATGAGCCTATTTCACGTCCTCTTCCACCTCCACTTGTTCCAACTCCATTATCTCCAAAACGCCCCGATCAGCGTGATCGCGGTTATCATCTTCTCACTATAAATGTGGAACTTTCTGATTCAGAACCTCCTCAAACCATCGTTGTTCACGTGAATGATGATCCTGCGGTTTTGGCCAGAGAATTCTGTAATAAGTGGGAGGTTACTAATGAGGTTATAGAACCTGCATTAATCAAACTAATTAAAGATGAAAAAGAAAAACGCCTTGGATGATAACGAGATTAATGTGCTAAAAAATAAAATACAGTTTGGGATATTAGCTTAAATATTAGGGTATGGTGTAAACAATGTTGATTTGCTCTTGTTTTTCCTGCTAACATTATGTTTCAACTAATAAATATTATAATTGTGTATGTTACATTTATCATTGTATTATAGAGCTCTTGTAGCTTTTTACATGTATATTAAATTATTCAAAAAAAAAAAATTTCAAGAGCATCCTATTTCTTGAAGAATTAAATATATTTGTTTTCAAGCGCATTGTAAAGGATTTAGAAATGTTATATCAGCATGAATAAATTTCAAATTTAGAAATAAATATTTTGAAACTGAATCTTTGATATTTTTCAAGTCATTTAAGTCTTATTAATACATATCATAGAAAGTACAAAAGTATTTTGACGGAGTTAATAGAAAAGGGACAAATTTTTTCTAAATAAAAAGTTTTTTTTAACTTTATACTTAAATATCTTAATAATTATTTAATCCTCGATAAAAATTTTTTATTTTAATTTTATTTAATTTTAAGGAAAATTCTATTTTGACCCGGGTCCTAGAATTTAGGGTTAGTACGTTCCGGAATTATGTTAATGCCGGCCTATTAGGCAGAAGTTCGTCTGATTGGCTAATAAATTCAATTTAATATTACATTATTTATACAGTTTAGAGTACTTTTTTAAAAAACGAAAACCAACCATAATAAAGTAAAAAAACCATATAGAAGGTTTCATTAGAACTGTAGGACCCCATAGTCAAAAATAAGATCTAATTCACCTCCGTTTAAAAAACTTAGCTTAATAATACGTTGATTTTGTTGGGTTTTAAGAAGTTATTGCTACACTACCTTTTATTTTTTATAGAGTCCTACAACTCTAATGAACCTTCTATGTAGTTTTTGTTATTTCATTATGGTTAGTTTTCGGTTTTTTAAAAAAAAGTACTCTAAACTGTATAAATAATGTAAAATTAAATTGAATTTATTAGCCAATTAGACAAACTTTTGCCTATGGGTTTTTTAGTGTAAAAAAGTCCGGCTGGCATCAACATAATTCCGGTTCACACTAACCTTAAAATTTTACCGGAGATTATGTTGATCCGGGTCGAAATAGAATTTTTATAATTTTAAAATTAAAATAAAAAATGACAATTACTATTTGTATTCAGGGCGTATGTATATGAATAATATCAAAACCAGCTGATATCTCAAATTTCAATTAGAAACCATTTTTTGCTTTTTAACAAAAAAATTATTTGTGAAATTTTGGTATAAACAATATCTTATTCAAATTCCAATCTCATACTTACCATTAGCAAAGGTTTATAAAAATTGTTATAATTGATATTATATAAATTTTAAAGACTATAGAGGTGTGGTGACTTAGTGAAGTGGTCAGATTGTCAACCTCCAAGTGGCAGGTCTAGAGTTCAAATCTCATGGATGATGAATTTTGGAAAATAGGTCTGTGTTATGGTAACTGTCTCTGTCGATTGGTTGAATTGGTGTATCTGTAACTTTTGTTGCATTATCTCAAATGGGAGCTCAGAGCATCTATGCTAAGTATAATATTACACCCACATAGAGGAATGTCAATAATCGGTGTTGCATAAGATTTTGGTGCAAACTTATGATAAGACCACCAGGTGCAGAAAGCAAAGGAACCGAAGAGTCAGAAACCTACTTGGAAATCCTGAGTAAGGAGGTAGCACAAAACTTTTAATGGTATTGTCAAACTGATAGAAGTCCATGAAACATCTCCAAAGAGATAGACAGATAAACCAGATGACAAGATATGTAGAGGAGCACATGACCAACCAGGTTGCTGGAATCATCAGAGAAAAAGAATATTAAGATATACTATACTGGGTCATCTGGATTGGAAGTCCGGAGAGTTCTGCCAGTCCTGAGTAGTGGTTAGTAGGGAATGATGAAAAGGATGTCAGAAAGATGGGTACCAGGATTTTGGGTAAACCTTACAAGAATAAAAGCAGTTTAATGATTAGTCCTGACTGCAAGTGATAGTTTAGGTCAGAACATGATTAGGTGAGTTGTAAGTATGGGATACAGAATGCACTAGTAGGTTTAGTACAAAGTTAAACATAACTTAGTGACCATAGTATATCTTCACCAGTTTATTGGAGTTGCTAGTAGAGTATGATAGATGCAGAATCAAAGTGTTTAAATAGAGAATCTATAGGTGGGTTCTAGGTATAGTAACTAGTATAGAACCTTTGGGTAAACTACTTAAATGAGACAATAACTAAAGTTGTACAAGTGGCTAGTTGTACACTCTTTCTGTAATTGCCTCTGTGTTTGTACATATACAGATGCTAGCCAACTTATACTATCAGTAAAATCCTGGGTCACATATACTTACCTTAACATTTAAAAAAAAAAAAATTTTAAAGACTATCTTTAATTGTTACCAAAAGATAGTAGTATCCTATCTTAAAATGACCAATCAAATTTAAAATAAATATATAAATTTTATTGATATATATATATATAATATAATTTATATATTAATACTAACATATAAACAAATAGTTTTACTAAAATATTTTTTTTTACATCACTTAATCATTTATAATTATAACTCTAATGTTACCTATACAACTATTTTTTTTATATAATAACAAACAGAGTGCAATTTGAATTTTGGTCTAAGTTAAGTTTAATTTAAGTCAAAATTTGAAATAACACTCATAAGCATTACTATATAGAAATATAGTAACAATTTCTTTATAAACTTTGAATATATAAACTCTAATTTAATTAACTTATTTGAACTATGCACATAATTGCCAACTATGATTTACATCTACATAAGCATATATATAATTTATATAGCAATTTTTATTAATATCTATTTTTAATTTATAACACTAATTCTAAATCAAACAAGCATTAATTTTCACAGTAATAAAATCTATTGCATTATATGTATGTATGTATGTATATTTAATGCAAATTAAGATAAATGTATAAAACTGATACTATATACAATTTATGAAATTTAATATTTTTATGATCCACTTAAACCTTTTAATATGAAAAAAAAACAATACTTATAATTACTCTAACTTTAAACATAAAAACAGATGACTTATAAAAAATTGAATTTTATAAGTCTATATATATATATATATACATTAATCTTAAGTTCAAATACATGTAATTTTTGTGTATATTCATCTAAATCTAATTATCATATTATATAATATTACAAATTTTACTGAATATCTTTTCCTAAGTATACTTAAATCTGATATTTAAAGAAAAAATTATGATAATACAATTATATATATGTTAATCAAAGTTCATAAATTGCAACATAAGTGACATAAACATTCTTCTGTTACTTAACCTTTAATAATTTTTTAAAAATTTAATTTCAATATATTAACAAATATAAATTTATGACAATATAAATTTATAAATTGTAATCTAAATATAAACATCTTCATATTACTTAATCTTTTGCTTTTAGCTTTATAACTATTCTTTTAAAGAACAGGTTCAAAAATTATAATATTATGACTTATACAAAGCACATTGATATTTGTTTTTCTTTTTTAATCCAAATTTTGATATTTTGTCTTAATTATTTGAATAAACAAATTTATTATTTTAATTCTCAATAGCAGACAAATATTTCTTATTTGTGGAGTGCTTCTTGTCTTTATATTGAAAAGAGTTTGAAATTATAAAACTATTAATTTTTTAACTTATATTTTGTTCAGATAAGTTTGAAGTAATACTATTACTTTGTACTAAAACTTGTTCATTAATAAAATATTGCAATAGGTTCTCTAAAACCTTATTAGTACTATTTATAATCACAATATTTAATGTTTTTTTTACAAATTCTAAGTTCATGACTATAAGAAACTTTTTTTGAATTTGATTTTATAGCAATTTTAATATTAACTTCTTGATTGTGAATTCTTTTTAATGTCTTAAATGTTACAATTAGAAGTGATTTACTTTTACTTTGTACTAGCTAAATAGTTAATTCTTAATCTTTATTAAATAAAACAATACCTTCTTTAAAATATCAATGTAAAAATATTAACTTTATATTAAAAAGTGTATTTTTTAATTGAATCATTATGGAAAAAAATGTTAACAAACAAATCCAGCATATATCAAATATAAATATATACAATAATATATATTATTATCAAATAAGACAACAAACTATGAATAGTTTGTAGTACTTTGGATATATTTGATTTTTCAGACTTTGATCATTACACTATTAGAACAATTCTCTAAAGCTATATTTAATAAAATCTATAGCTTCTTATAATCATCTTCAATAAATCTTACTTTATGATGCAATTGCTAACTAGTACTAACATTAAGCTTATTATTACATAGTAAAGACCTATATAGAAAGCTTTTTAATATTTGTTTTTGTTCTAAAACTAATAAACTTAGTATAAGATATTTTATACATATATTATTAATTTTCTTAAAAATTGTATTAGAAATATGCAGAAATTCAGTAGTAAAATTTATATTTCTAAATTCTTGTAACTTTGTATACTTGATTTTATCCTTAAATTACAAGTCGATTTCAGCCTGAAGTTGACATAAAGAACTTTCTAAGTTTGCTTCTAATTTTATAACATGATTTATACATTCAACATATATTAAATATATATTTGCTGAAAATTTGTGCTTTGTAAATGCATACACTCAACATTCTTTAGTTGAATATAAAACATGATAACAATAACTTTGAATTTTTGAATAATTATTCATTAACTCCATCTAACAATAATCAAAATCAAATACTACAGAAGACTTTTGCAAAGTATAAAAATTAGAAATAAAATTATCTTACTTATTATTAAGCTTTTTCTTAAATCTTTTAACTAGATTTTGCCAAATATGAAATACACAATACCTAACAATGGTTTTAGGATACTTATTTGTTATAGCTACTTGCATTGCTGAATTAGCGTCTATAAAAATTATTGTTGATTGAAGGCCATTAGTAGTTAATTTAGTTTGTTTTAAGATCCATTTATAAGTTAACACTGTTTTATCAGAAACTACAGCTGTGGCTGCAATATGACTTTTGTTATTTGAATTAATTACAATAAAAATGCTTAAAGACATTATATATTTGTTTATTTTGCATATGTTATTATTAATAATAATATTATAAAACTAAGTCCATAAGCATCTTTGTTCAGAAAACATCCAAAAAATCCTGGAAAGCCTATTATTAATGCCTTCAAAGTCTATTTTAAAGTACCAATTAGGATTTTCTTGTTGTGCTTTTGAAAAATATTTATATAAAGTTGAGGCATTATTTTTAATCTGAGCTCTAATTTTGTATTTGCAAATCATATTATAAAGATCTCAATTGTAAATTTTTTGATTAAAAAATTTATTTTGCAATATTCATTTTAAGACAGTTGCCTCTAGTTGATATTCCTGAACATAAAACTAGATCTCTTCTTTAAAATTGTTAGGCATTTTATACAAGAACAGTGAAAATTGCAAATATAATTCTTCTTTATTTAATATATGATTATGATTCTTAGTGAATTTATTAACGAAGACAAAATTTATATATTTCTGATATAAAGCATTTATAATAAATTTATACTCAATATGACCAGATTCTCAATCTTGATTTTGTGTAAGGTCTAATTTTTTCTTAAGTATATATATTTCACTATGCCTACATTTATATGTCTTACAAATAAAGATATTATTCTTCTTTTTAGCTTGCACTATTTTTATTTCAAATCCTATTCTAGTTAAATAACATTTTAGACATTGTTGGAGCATATTAAACAAGACAAATGTTTGTTCAATATAAATTTTTTTTAGAAAATTATCTTCAGATTTATTATCCAAACTACTATTTTCAGATACAAGATCTTTATCCTTTTTAATTACTGATAAGAAATCATTTACTGTTATAAGTTCAGATGAATTTAAATTAATACTATCTTTCAAAAATTCATAGTTCACATAGGATTTATTAAAATTATATTCATAATCTTGAATGTCAAATATTTGAAAAAAATTTTTAGGTTAAATTAATTTGATAAAGAAAATAACATTGCTGAACAAAAAAAAAACAAATAAAACAAACTAAAATTACCTTACAAAAAGAAAAAAGCTCATATAACAAAAAAAATGTTATACAAGAGAAAAAAGATCTACACAAAAGAAAAAATTATGAAAAGAAAATAGCAATACTAATAAAACAAACTATAAAGAAAGTACTATATTAAAAAAAAAATTAGAGAAAAGAGTCATTAAACAAAAAAAGCTATATGAAGAGAAAAGAGTCATATAAAGAAAAATAAGAAAAAAAGCCATAAAAAGAAGAAAGTTATACATGAAGAAAAAAAGCTGCAAAGAAAAAAAGACTATACCAAAAGGAAGTTGTAAAGAGAAAGTGCTATACCAAAAGAACTGTAAAAAGAACCACAAAAGAAAAGCTACGCCAAGAGAAAAAGCTGTAAAGAAAAAGAGCTATATTAAAAGAAAAGGCTACAAAAAAAAAGAGCCATGCCAAGTAAAGGAGAGCTGTAAATAGAAAGCGTTATATAAAAAGTTCTGTGAAAAAAAGTGGCACATAAAGAAAAAAATGCTACAAAGAGAAAAGTGTCACATCAAAGAGTCATAAAAAAAGCCATGAGAGAAAAGAATTATAGCAAAAAAAAAAGCTGCAAAGAGAAAAGAGCTATACCAAAAGAAGAAGAGCTGTAAATGTAAAATGTCATGTGAATAGCAAAAAGCTATGAATATAAAATGCCATATGAAGAAAAAAGAGTCACAATAAAAGAGTCATAAAGAGCCACAAGAGAAAAGAGCTATGCCAAAAGAAAGAAGCCACAAAGAAAAAGACCATACCAAAAGAAAGAGTACTACAAAGAGAAAGTGTTATGTAAAAAAGAACTACATTAGTAAAAAAAGCTACATAATACAAAAAAAGAACTGCAAAATAAGACAAGAAAAAAATAACTCATATACAAAAGTCAAGCTATGTAAAAGCAAGAAAAAAGTACTGATTAGCAAGAAAAAAATTCGTAATTATAAAAAAATAACAAGAAAAAAATTTATATGTGAAATAAGCTATGTTAACAATAAATAAAAAAAGTTAAAAAGAATAAGCTATGCTAACAATAAGTAAAAAAAAGTTAAATCAGTAAAATTTTATACAATTGATAAGTAAAATAATGTATAATTATAACTTCATATAAGAGTGGATATTAATATAAATTGGTGTTATATTAATTTTTACAATTTTAAATACAAAATTAATAAAATTAATATCTATATATTATACATCTTATGTATAATTATAAATTTTTTACATTATTTATCAACTCTTTCCTGCAGATCCTTCAACCAAAATTTTTAGAAAGCAAAACTTAGTAAAACTCAATAAATAGACTAAAAAACAAGACTTGAGGTACTAACCAAAAAAACAGAACAGCAAAAATTGCATGTAGTTTAATAGAAGATACAAAAAGAAACCTTAAAGTTAACAAAAACAGCATATAAAAAACTTTTTACAAAAAGTAAAAATTTTTTTTTGTTTGAAAAATTGAAAAACTGCCAAAATCCTGTATTATAAATCTTTTAAGTTATACAAAAAACTGCACTAGTACAAGCAAAGTAAACAAACAAGCATATATATCAACTAGCTTAATCTAGATACAACATATGACATAAAAGCATATAGAAAATAGTTGTGTAATATGAACAGAAATCTGCCAGAAGAATACAGAAGATGCTTTAAAACAATTTTTATAAGAAGGGCATATGAGGCAATGAATAGTGTGCATAATAAAATTTTCTTTAATGAGACAAGCAAGGCATATGCAATATCTAGCAGAGAAGACAATATTGTCACAGTACTTACAAAACAGAACCCAAATAAAGTGGCACTCTTGCAAATAACAAAAGAAATACTAGAAAAAGCAGAAAGAGAACTGCTTGAAAAAAAGTTGGATTTTGTAGAACAATACCAAAATAGAATAAATACAGAAAGAAATAAAGAATAACAACAGAATAATAAGATAAAAGAAAGGCAAGAAGGGTTAAAGATAGAGACAAAAAGGAAAAATGAAGAGAATAAAGAGGCTAACAGGAGTCCACAAGCAATTATCAAAACAGCAGGGAAAAAAATAAGTATAGAGATAAGATAGACAAATAATAACCAAATAGAAGCTGAATCATCCATCTATATAGGAAAAGAAGAGGAACAGAAAAGAGGACAAAAACAAAAAGATATAGAAATAAATAAAAAAGAATCAAGACAGGAATCAATGACAGAAGAAAAAGAAAGGAAAAAAAGAAGAAAACAAAAAATCGAAAGAGAAATTGATATAGTGAAAGTACTACTCGAAGAAAACATGTGGGCACCAAGCAAAAGAGGCTGCAATTGAAATAACAGCCTACTTGCAAACATATTAGCACATAATGTACCTAGAAAGACCAAAGAAGAATGAATGAACTTTATTAGATAGTTACTAAAGAATAATGAACATGTTAAGAACATTGAAGAGGTTTTCAAAAGAGAAAACCTTTGGATAGAGGTAGACTTCAACTGTGAATATAGCAGAAGTGAGGCAATACAAAGAATTAGCAAGAAAAAAAGTAATTAGTATAGAATAATTGCAGAAAAAGAAAGAATAAACAAGAAGAGAAAAGGGAAAACATATGATAATGATTATTAAAAAAAAAAGAACAATACATCAAAGTTTAAAAAGAAGAAATATGAACATTAAAAAAGGAAAAAAGTGTTAACAGAAGACCAAATAGATATTAGGAAAAAGGAAACACAAAAACATAAATATATAACAATCTAGGATCTACCAGCAAATATAAACAGAATAGAGATTGAATATATGTGTAGAAGATTTAAAAAAACACATATAACAAGAATTAAGAGATCCAAATACAAATAGTCCAAGTTGAAGAGTTAGAAGAAAAAGACACATCATGGTTGATACCAATTAATAGTAACAAACTGGTAAGAGTAACAAAGATGAAGAGAATTATGAAACAAGACAAAAACAAAGTCAGTATATAGCAAAAATAACAGAGCTACTAGGCAATGCTTCAGAAGTCTTGCTGCTATGCTGCCTAAGAAGCAAAGGTATAAAATCAGTATATATCCTGCTAAACAGAAACAGAAATCAAAGAAGAACAGCAATTGTCATATTTGCAACAGAAAAAGAAATGAAGGCAGCCCAATCAAAACCAATTAGATATAACAATTTTCAAGTTTCCTGGCTAAATGAAAAAAGAATGAAATAAAGAAAGAAGAAAGTTTTAGAGAAAGAAGAGAAAGAAGCTAGAAAAGAAATAGCCAAAATCAGAATAGAAGACATATAGAAATAAGAAGTGATCCTCCTATACAAGATGCAGAAGAGTAGTTAGAAGATGAAAATACTACTAACAGGAAAAGCTAAGACAAAAGTAATTAGGCTCTAAATAGATAATACATTAAAATAGAAAGTGATCACCAGTTACAGAACATAGAAGAAAGGTTAGGAGTCAAAAACATTAATGCAGAAAGAAATGATAGAAATATAACTGAAAAGAAGGCAAGACTAAACACACAAGTACAAGACAAATAGAGGAAGTTTTAGGTCAAATCTTAGATAGACTTAATTGACTAGAGGACACTCAGCTAGATATAAAAGAAGGTCTGACTAACCACTCCTAAGGGCATCCAAGTTGAACTCATAAATATAGATAAGGAGATTAAAGGTTTTCTGCACAGTAAAAGAAGAACTTTCGAAGAAAGAAATAAAGAAAAATCTTCTAATCCAGAAGAAGAAAAGAAAAGAAAAGAAAAGAAAAAAGCAGAAAACACAAAAACAAGATACAAGCAATTAAAAAAAAAATGAAAAAAAAGAAAAGAAATAAAAATTATATGTTATAACATCAATAGACTCAAAATCAGAAGTTGGAAATTAAAAAACCTGCTAGATTGGGCAGAGAAAGAAGAAATAGCAATCTTGAGAATAACAGAAACAAACATTATAGAAAAAGAAGAGAAAATCTTGTTATACAATCTTAATATAAGATTTAAAAATTATTGGGCAAGTGCAGTACTAGATAAGAAAAAAGGATCAGATATTGGAATCCTAATAAATGATACTTGAAAAAAACATGTTGGAGCAGTCAAAAGACATGGTGAGTATATAATAGAAGTAAGGCTTTATTTCAAACAACTCACACTAATAATAATAGGGGTGTATATTTCACCAAATAACAAAGCAATCAGTAAGAAAATACAGCAAAAAATTGTAAAAATAGTAACAAACAAGAGAAAGTATACAGAAATAGTCATACTTGGAGATTTCAATTACATAGTAGACAATATATTAGACAGACTGTAACTACAAACAACAGATTATAAAAAATTACCATTCTTTAATTAGCTTAAGAAGCAAGATTTTACAGACTCATTTAGAAATTTGTATTTAATAAAAAGAGTATACATATGGTTAAGCCAAGAAGTAGCAACAAGAATTGACTATATCTGGTTGTCAGAAACAATCACAACTGGTCTTCAAGAAGCCAATATAGAAGAAGCAGAAGATATAACAGGTAGTGACCACAAGTTACTAACAACAGTTATATGGCTAAAGCATATAATTGCAAACCAGAACAGTGCAGAAATTAAACGTAAAGACCAGATAAGAACAATATATTTGTATAAGGAAGTAAAGCAAGAAGATTGGGAAAAATATGCTGAAGAGTTTCAAGCTCAATTAGAATGGAAAAAAGCACTAAAGCAGTTAGAAGAAGATAGTAAAAATATTTCATACAACACAGACATGCTAGACCAAATATGAAATGCAATAGAAGAAGCTATAATAGAAGCAGCAAATAAAAAAATTCCAAAAAAAAAAATATTCAACACAGAAGTAAACAGAAGACATCATTGAAAGAAATCACAACAATATAAATACATAACTGAACTACAACAAATAATTAAAAGAGCAAAGATTAGAAGAAACCAAGAGATAAAGAAAGAAGAAAAAGAAGAGATAAACAAGAAGCTTATAGACATTGGTAAAGAGATAAGAGCAGTGTTACCAAAGCTATACAAACAATGATTAGAAGCTTGGATAGATGATATAAAAGACTAGCAAAGGATTCTGAAAGGCAAAAGGAAAGAAGAGTGAAAATGAGCCCAAAGAAAACAGATAGAAGAAAATATAAATAGAAGATATAAGATGATAAAAACTGACCAAGAATGAATGATTGCTAGCTTTCTAAACAAACCATACAAAAAGATAATTCTAGACAGATTTATAACCCAAAGTGAAGATGAGACCAGTCTAATGACAAAGCCCAAGGATGTTATAGAAGGTCTGACAAAACATTTTAAAAATCAATTCAGAAAGTGAAGAACCAAACTAGAAGAGATGTTTGAGAAATGAATAGAAGTATACAATCCAAAAGAGTAAATCAAAAAGTCCTGATATAAAAAGTTAGAAGAAAAGATAAAAGAAGAGAAATGTGAAGACATATTAAGAGAACTCAAGGCCAACACAGCTCCAAGAATTTTAGACATAAGTTATACTTTAATAAAATGAGCAAAAAGAAAATCACAAAAGATCTTTAGAAACTTCACAAATCTGGTTTTAGAAACAAGAGAAATGTCAAAAAAGTGGAAAATAGTACAAGTCTATCTAATCCCAAAAGATGTAGACTGGGAATATAATCTAAACAATATTAGACCAATAGCACTAATTAAGACCTTTAAAAAGTTAGTCACAAAGGTGATAACAAAAAGGCTAGCCAAGATATTTATAAAAAGAGAAATACTTAAAGGACCAAATTATGCAGGCCTGCCTGGCAATTTCACAGAGTAGCCAATATATATGCTAAATATAATAATAGAAGAAGTACAAGAAAAAAACAAAGAAATATAAATACTTCTGCAAGACATGAAGAAAGCATTTGACTCAGTCCTATTAGAAAGCTTGAAGTAGGCACTTAAAAGAGTTAAAGTACTACAAAGAACAATTAAATATATTATTAATCTCTTCTGTAAACATTAACTCAAAGTGATTATAGCTTATAGCTTAACAGAAGAAATAACAACAAAAGATGATATAGATCAAAGAGAAGTAATTTCTCTACTTGTCTGGTGGCTCTTTTATGATCCACTGTTGGAAAGAATTCAAAAAGATAAACTACTAGGCTACACAGTAGTGCAAGAAACATTAAAAAATGCAGACAATAATTGTATCACAAAACATAAACAAGCAGTGATTGTCTATGCAAATGATACTACATGGATTGCAAGCAGCAAAGACCAACTGCTAAAAATTCTTGGAATTGTAGATGAGTTCTTTAAAGTGAATGATATTAAAATAAATAAAGCAAAATCAAAGCTTATAGTAATAAATTCTAGACTAAAAAAAGAAAATAGAGAAATTACATTCAGGCAGAGTAGAATAATAGAAGAACCAAAAAACAAGATTGTAAGATCATTAGGAATTTGGCTAAATAGTAGAATAAAAGAGTTACTAGTCTGCAAAAAAGCAAAAGGAATAGTTAACCAAACAGTTAAAGATCTTAGATATAAAAAAATAACAATGAGCCAGATTGCATATATAAATAACACAATAATAATTCTAAAATTAAGATACCTTTTGTAGTTAACAAGAGTATCAAAAAAGATGATTGACAAGATTCACCAGCCAATAATATGTTTGGCAAAACATAAATGCAATATAATGAAAACAACAAACAATTGCATAATTGAGCATAAAGATCTGAGTAATTGTAAATTACTAAGTTAAGAGATAGCAACAAAGCAAATAAGTAGTTTATTCACAAGACTCAACAAAAAAGACAACTTAGGTAAACTAACAAAACTTAGAATAGCTCAAGGGTGTTAAAAAGCAGACTTAGTAAAAGACATTTGGGACTCTGAAAGAAGACCAAAAAAAATAATGTATTGGAAATACAATTTAGCCTATCAAACAATAGTTAAAGCAAAAGAGATAGAAATTAATTTCAAAGCAAAAGATTATCTATAGAGAGTACATAGTTATGAAACAAGCATAAAAGACATAGTTAGAGTTAAATTATAGACAGCAAGTAGTAGTACAATAAATAAATAGGGTCTAATATATCTGAACCAACTTATGAACATAAAAGAGGAGAACTTAATTATATGAAAACAGCTCAAAAGTCTTCTAGGACTGTCATGTAAAGGAAAAAAAGCCAAATAGTTCAGTGAAATAGAAGGAAAGTTGTTAGTAACACAAACAAGTAGAGAAATACATGTCTAATACAAGATTAGAAATCTCAATACATAGGCCCTAATGATCAACTGAACAAAGATATCTGAAGACAGAAAGAAGAAAGAGTGAATTGTATATAGACCAAAACACAATCTACAATTTAATAAGATATTAAAGAAGAAAAAGATCTTAGCAGAACATTGGCTACTACAAAAAGTAGAAGGCAAGACATATACTAAGATAAGTAAATGCAAAGGGTGTGAGAACAGAACAGAACAAATAACAAACAATTGTGAAAAGTTGATAAGATGGAATAATAACTTAAAAGCAGTTCCAGAAACATTAGTAGAGAAAGGCAGTAACAAAATTAATGCAACATTAGAACAAATGCTAAAAAATAAAATAATAGAAGAATGAAGAAAAGAAGAAAGAGAGCTAATTGAACTTAAACAAGTAGAAGAATTAGAGACAGAATTAATTAAGAAACAAGCATTTGACAGTAAAGTTAAAGATATTATAATAGAAGCCCTATTGAAAAACAAGAGAAGAAACAAAAACAAATACATCCTTTATACAGATAGAGCATTATATAAAGAGGAAGGAAAAGATAGTATAGCAAAAATGGGTATCAGTTAGATGCAGATTAGTGATAAAGAAAACTGACCAGAAGAAGAAATAATGCTAAGACTCAAAGGTTGGCTCTTAGCAACAACAACAGAATTAATAGCAATATGGTTAGCAATTTTAGTTATACTAAAAGAGAAAGGTATAAAAGTGTATACAAATAGCTTTGCAGCATTAAGGCATATTAATAGAGCAATTCAAGTGATAGAAAATAACAAAGTTCTAAAAAAGAAAAATATGATGTAGATAATGAATATTGTAAGTCTACTCGAAAGCATAAACAATAAAATAGAATTAGTTAAAGTTAAAAGTTACAGCAATAACAAGTGGAATAACAGAGCAGATTTACTTGCAAAGAAAGAAGCAATATATAGAAAGACAATATTTACAGAGAAAATTAAGTGTGACAAAATAAAGTACCACTTAGAATAGAAAAACAGGCAAGTTGATATACCAACAAGACTTCTTTATAAAATAGGCATGAATGCTAAAATCAGAGCTAGTTGAAGAGAAACAAATCCAATTTAAGCATGAGAGCCAGAAACTGAGAATACTCAATATAATTGGTCAAGCTTTTGGAAAGAAATGAATAGAACAAAAGGTGTACATTGCACAATGAGAAAACTTAGTACAAGAAAAGCTATAGCAATTAAATGCATAATAGACAGCCTACCAATGCTAGAAGAACTAAATAGAAGAAGATCAGAAATATATACAACAACTGATTGCCAAATATGCCAAAGAGGTGAAAAGAAAATTCAAGCATACCTAGCAAGCTGCATTAGACAAAAAAGCTTGTGGAAAAAAATTCAAAAAGTAGCAACAGCAACAGTATGAAACAGTCTTAAAGAAAATGAAAGAGTTAGAATTCTACCTTTTGTGCTATATGAAACATTATTTGAAAAAACAAAAGCAGAGAAAATTACTAATAGAACAGCTTTAGTAAAAAGATTAATAATGAATAAGGTTGGAAAAAGGATCAGTCAAATTCTAAATAGACAAACAATACAAAAATGCATGAATATAGTAACAAAAACAGTGTAGAATACATTTTATGACCAAGTATGAAGAATCTGTTGTTTTTTTTTTTTTTAATTGTTAAGGTGAGGTCATGCCCTCAAGTCTTTATTAGTATATTGGTTATAGCTAGTACAAT